TTTTTCGACGGTCGATAAATGACCTGAATTACTTACTGTCGCGCATCGATTACCTACCGAAAATCTTTGTATCAAGTGCGCGTGAGACTCACCACGAAGCCGAGATGCGCGTCTGCTTCAGCGTCCCCGTCGGCCATTTAATTCATTCTCAATTGACGTCTGTTAATGTCAGGTCGCAGTGGACCAATTTTGTTATAAAAATTAAATAAAATTCATATTGTGTGTAAACCTCCTGATAAGATGAGCCGAGGAACAATGCGGGGGCGTCGGCGCATCTCCGGTGAGTCTCAAAAGTAATAATGTGTTGTCTCCTGACGGAATATTCGATCAAGAATAAACTTGTCAATTTTCTTTGTTTCACGACATGTCATTTTGTAACTTTTGAACAGGTCCCGTCTGGACCTGTAATTTCTTGTTATTAAAACAAAACTAAAACAAACTAACTTGTGATTTCTCTTACCCCGCGCTCTCCTTGAAAAGATTGAGCTAGCATAAAATTAATTAAAATAATAGGTTTGAATATTTTTCCATAAAATATCTCTGGCGTTCGGGTATTAATTCAAACAACAAAGTAACGTGTGTTTTATTTAATTAGTTGATCCTGAAGTAAAGAAAAATAAATTCTTGAAATAAAATAACCTCATTTAGAGTAATAAAATTCATAGTAATTTCTCAAATAATTATAAAAATAGTAAGACACCCGTTATAATATATATATATATATATATATATATATAAGAAAAATGATTGATTAATATTAACATATATAATATATTTATTTTATTTATTTTATATATATATATTTATTTTTATTTTATTTTTATCTTCGCCAATCACATTATCTTTATTTTTCTGTAATTTTCACTTAAAAAAATATACAAACTGAATTTTAACTCACCACATTAAAATTTATAAAAGTTAAATTAGTGACACTGTAATTTTTTCAAAAAATTCAAATTCTTGCCCTTAAATTTCGCAAATATCTCAAACAATCATGTTCGCTATATTTTTACCTTAATCTTCACTTAAAAATGAAGATCCCTACCGAATTTCAGCTCATCAAATTAAGATTCCTAAAAGTTCAAAAGGGGAAGAGAAAAGTGTCATTTTTTGCAATTTTTTCGTAAAAATTTAATTTCTTTCCCTCCTAGTTCGCAAATATGTCCGTCAATCGAGTTCGCTATATTTTTCCTGTAATCTGCAATTGAAACTGAAGATCCCTACCGAATTTCAGCTAATCAAGTTAAGATTTTTAAAATTTAAAGGGGGAGGACAGGGTCATTTTTTGCAATTTTTTCTAAAAAATTGAATTTCTTTCCCTCCTCGTTCGCAAATATGTCCGTCAATCGGGTTCGCTATATTTTTCCTGTAATCTGCAATTGAAACTGAAGATCGCTACCGAATTTCAGCTAATCAAGTTAAGATTTTTAAAATTTAAAGGGGGAGGACAGGGTAATTTTTTCAATTTTTTCAAAAAAATTCAATTTCTTTCCCTCCTAGTTCGCAAATATGTCCGTCAATCGAGTTCGCTATATTTTTACCTCAATCTTCATTAAAAAATGAAGATCTTTACCGAATTTCAGCTCACTAGGTTGACATTTATAAAAGTTAACCGCAGGAACAGGGTCATTTTTTACAATTTTTTCAAAAAAAATTGAATTTCTTTCCCTCTTAGTTCGCAAATATGTCCGTCAATCGGGTTCGCTATATTTTTCCTGTAATCTGCATTTGAAACTGAAGATCCCTACCGAATTTCAGCTCATAAGGTTGAGATTTGTAAAAGTTTAGGGGGGGCAGGGTCATTTTTTGCAATTTTTTCAAAAAAATTCAATTTCTTTCCCTCCTAGTTCCCAAATATCTCCACCAATCAGGTTCGCTATATTTTTCTTGTAATCTGCACTTGAAACTGAAGATCCCTACCGAATTTCAGCTCATAAGGTTGAAATTTGTAAAAGTTTAAGGGGGGGACAGGGTCATTTTTTGCAATTTTTTCAAAAAAATTCAATTTCTTTCCCTCCTAGTTCCCAAATATCTCCACCAATCAGGTTCGCTATATTTTTCCTGTAATCTGCACTTGAAACTGAAGATCCCTACCGAATTTCAGCTCATAAGGTTGAGATTTGTAAAAGTTTAGGGGGGGCAGGGTCATTTTTTGCAATTTTTTCGAAAAAATTGAATTTCTTTCCCTCCTTGTTCCCAAATATCTCTACCAATCAGGTTCGCTATATTTTTCTTGTAATCTGCACTTGAAACTGAAGATCCCTACCGAATTTCAGCTCATAAGGTTGAAATTTGTAAAAGTTTAAGGGGGGGACAGGGTCATTTTTTGCAATTTTTTCAAAAAAATTCAATTTCTTTCCCTCCTAGTTCCCAAATATCTCCACCAATCAGGTTCGCTATATTTTTCCTGTAATCTGCACTTGAAACTGAAGATCCCTACCGAATTTCAGCTCATAAAGTTGTTATTTGTAAAAGTTAAGGGGGGACAGGGTCATTTTTTGCAACTTTTTCGATAAAATTGAATTTCCTTTCCTCCTAGTTCGCAAATATGTTTGTCAATCGGGTTCGCTATATTTTTCCTGTAATCTGCACTTAAAACTGAAGATCCCTACCTAATTTCAACTCAACAGGTTGAGATTTGTAAAAGTTAAGGGGGGGACAGCCCATTTTGCGTGGCTGGGACGGACACACGAGTGATTTCATAAGGGTTCCGTCAGTACACCTATGGTGTAGGGAACCCTAAAAATGGTGTCTTCTAGAACTATTTAAAGTTTAACATTTAAGATAAAATAATAAAATGTTTTTGATTGAAATACTTAATATACACTGTAAAAAAATCTGGTGTAAATTTACTATGTCCGACGTTGGAAAGTTTGGTCACTATGTCCGACGTGGTATTTTTACACGCCGACTGTAATCTACATAACCTGCAAATATTTTTTGAAATAATATTTTCAGTCGTAACTTTTTGTATTTATGAAATATAGCCCAAAACTTTTTGTAATATTATTTACTTATAAATTAGCATATACTTTCTATAAATGTACATTATATACACTTTTTTAGAGTTATTTATAAAAACTTGAAAATTTTTTGAAAATCTTAAAGGAATAAGAAAATTACATTCGCCATGTAATTGTACAGATCGTGCGACGTAATATTACGTCAAAGTGTAGAAATACACGCAATGTAAAAATACCACGTCGGACATAGTGATCAAATTTTCCTACGTCGGACGTAGTAAATTTACACAAAACTATTAAATTACATAGTCGTATAATGTAAACTTATTAAAAATAGTAAAACTACTTTTGGAACGAAATAAATTTACTACGTACAACCTATAATTTTGATGTGTGAAATTACAAGTTTCGTGTTATTTTACACCAGATTTTTTTACAGTGTATTTAGAAATAAATTAATTATTTTTGTAAAAGTACTTATTTTTTCTTATCAACAGATATATTGAAGTAAAAAAAACAATATTTAATTTAAAAAAATAAAATTTATTAAAATGTAGCTCAATTGAAGTTAACATAGGGTAAATGTGGGTATTATCGAGGAATTTTGTATACGTCATACATCCAAGTGGTTTAAAAATTATAAATAAATGTATATGGCTTTGTTTTTTTTAAATGAATATTTAAGCTTTCTTTTCTTTAAAAAAAATTGCCAATGCTATAGAAAATAGAAGTAGTGTTACTAGGCGGGTACGGGAGCACTTACCGACCGAGGTCGATAATGCAGATTCCTACATTACCCAAAATAGTATACTTTTAACTGCGTTAGAAGGGATATTCTGTTTTACCGACCGAGTTTAGTTGCGGCGGCCATCGCTAGATGGCGCCACTTTATTTTTGCACAATTTCAAACCCGTTGGTAAGAGATTTGAATTTTTATTTTCGAATTTTCAACTGCGTTGGAAGGGGTGTTCTACTTTACCGATCATTCTAATTACGGCTGCCTGCGATAGATGGCGCCACTTTATTTTTCTCAATTTCAAACACCTTGGAGGGAAATTTAAATTTTTATTTAATTTAAAGTCGCATGGTAGGGGTATTTTGAATATCCCGCCAAAATTACCGACTGAACTTAGTTGCGGCTGCCTCCTATAGATGGCGCCACTTTATTTTTGCTTAATTTAAAACCGCTTGGCGGGATATTTGAATTTTTTTATTAATTAACTTAAAGTCGCATTGGTATGGGGGTATTTTAGATGTTCTACTATATCGACCTTTGTAATAGATTCCTATAAAAAAAGTCGGTAATTGACCGACTGATGATAATGTAGATTTCTAACTCACTATGTGCGCCAGTGTTCTAGGATACCGACTGCAAGACCTATGAGAACTTTCAAGTTATCGCGGCAGCCGGCGCTTACTATACGATGTGATAAGGTAGGAGTGGTGTTGCGCGCGACTATGGAGTAGAGGGGCCAGGCGCGTCGTAGTGGGATGTCAGGTATGGTGGGGACCAGTGTATAAGTTCGAGAGCGCGAGCCACAATCATCAGTAGCATCTTTTCAGATGCAACTAACAGTTTACATAGTACCTCCAGATATATTTTCAGAGTCTGTTTTCTTTGTTTCAGTTGTGCTTTTTTTGATTTGTTTCAGGATTTTTTTTAGTTTTGTTTCAGGAATTTTTTGATTTGTTTCAGGATTTTTTTTAATTTGTTTCAGAATTTTTTTTAGTTTTGTTTCAGGATTTTTTTTATTTGTTTCAGGATTTTTTTTTGATTTGTTTCAGAATTTTTTTTTTATTTGTTTCAGGATTTTTTTTTTAATTTCTTTCAGGAGTTTTTTTTAAAAAACACAAAAACATAGCGATTTTCCGTTTTGCCCCGAACACTCGAATCCACCAGGATCCAAGGAGGAAAAGCTCCTAACTACCCTCCTACCTAAACGGAAGCACGTTCTCCATTACCGTGCTTTAAAGCAAGCCATTGCCAACGGTCTGGTGTTAGTTCATATTCATCGCGTTTTGAAGTTTAAACAAGCTATGTGGCTCAAAAGTTATATCGATTTTAACACTACAAAAAGAACTAATGCCAATAATGAGTTTGAGACAAATTTATTCAAACTAATGAACAACGCGGTATACGGAAAAACAATGGAGAACGTTCGAAAACACGTTGATGTTAAACTCGTGACAAAGTGGGAGGGTAGGTATGGAGCTGAAGCTTTAATCGCAAAACCTAATTTCCACAGCAGGGCTATCTTTAACGAAAACTTGGTTGCCGTAGAACTGAAAAAAGTAGAGGTTTTGATAAACAAACCACTCTATGTTGGTAAGACAGTATTGGATGTATCAAAAACTTTAATCTATGACTTTCACTTCGATTATATGTTGCAAAAGTATGATTTTGAGAAATGTAAGCTTCTGTACACCGACACCGATAGCCTTGTTTATGAAATTAAATGTTCAAACACTTATGCCGACATGAAAGAAGATATTCACAAATTTGATACTTCAGATTATCCTCTAAACAACGTGTACAATATTCCGCAAGCCAACAAGAAAATTTTAGGTTTGATGAAAGATGAGTGCAGTGGTAAAATTGTAACAGAATTTGTTGGCTTGCGGAGCAAAATGTACAGCATCCGCGTTGAGAATCAAGATTTCATAAAAAAGGCGAAAGGTGTAAAAGCTGGAGTTGTTAAAAAAGACATTAATTTTGATGATTATGTGTATTGCCTTCAAAATGTAAAAATTCAATCTAGAACGCAGTACTCAATCAGGTCCAATCTGCACAAAGTGCAAACTTTAAAACAAACAAAAGTTGCACTCAGTCCGTATGATGACAAAAGGTTATTGTTAAAAAATAATACTGACACCCTTGCATGGGGACATTGTAAAATTGCCGAAATTATGGAAGATGATGATGAGGTATTGTAAAAAAAATTGTTGGGAGAGAGAATTTGTTATTTTAATAAATAAAACCTGTTACATATTTTATTTTATGTCTTCTTTATTCAATAAAACCTTAATCTAGTTACATTATTTTAACTTATTTTAATGTTACTTTAACTTGTTTTAACATTATTTTAACTTTACTTCAACATTACTTTAACTTTGCTTTAACGTTAATTCAACTTTATTTAAACATTAGTTTAACTATATTACATGTCAGATTTTTTAATCCAACTATTGTGAGATTTATCAAATCCAAGCCATTTCACGTAGACATCATTACCACGAGTCTTGAGAACTTTCTCTACTAGGTAAACATCTGGATGTTTGACTTTCAGCAGTTATAGAAACCACCTTCGATGGGCTGATTTTGGTAATCTAAAAGTTTGTATGTTACTGGTTTTCTCGATTTAACTTTATCCACAGTGAATATTTCCGTTGTCCAGTTGGGAGTATATCCTTTTTCAAAGATATTTTTAAACTTGCTAACCCGAACTCTATCTCCAACTTTAAATTTTGATCTTCTCAGTGGAATTTTTCGTAGTTTACGGATACGTCTCAGCAATTCTCTTGTGACTTCTACGGTAACATCTTTGGGTTTCATACCAATAGTACGATGCTTCTTATTATTGTACTTTGATATGAGCGTAGGTAAAAGATTTATCCATTTGTAACTGCCCTGTAAGCTGAATTCAGGCCACATCATATTTTTCAGAGTGCGATTAAATCTTTCAACAATTGATGCTTTCAAGTTACTGAAAGTTGAATAGAGAATAATGTTAAATTATTGCATTAAACTCTTAAATTCTGAATTGTAAAATTCTTTGCCTCTATCAGTATGCATATTTTTTGGAATTCTGCCTTGTTTTAGAATAGTTTTCATGGCTAGAGAAATATCCTTTCCATTCTTACTCTTTACAGCTACAGCCCAGGCATATTTGAAAAATATGTCTATAACTGTGAGCATGTATTTGAAACCTTTATTAGAATAAGACTAAGATATCATTTCAACCAAATCTGCTCGCCAGGTTTCGTCGATGCCACGCATTTGAACTTTTCGACGAGGATAATTTTTTCTATCCTGTCTATGCAACTCTTTAACAACAGTTAACTTTTCATCGTCCATTTTCAAGGTTTGTTAAACGTGAATCCAATTTAGCAATATATTTAGCGTTTTGAAGAGGTAATTCGTGTTGTAAATCAGTTTCAATCTGCTTAAGTTTTTCATTAATTCTTTCCTCGATAGATTATATAAGAATATTCAAGTCATCAATAGCTGATCTTGAAAAGTCTTTTGTTATCAATATCGTATTGTCCACTTGAAGTAATTTTAAAACCAATTCCAGAAGGTCCAGGTTGTCCACGACTTGCAGTAGGTCATGACAAAGGATGTCCAAACACATCAATTCTCATTTTAATACTAAGCTTTATTTGCTTGTACTCTTCTAATATATAATGCGAGCTTCACGTAGTTCTTCAATAATTGACATAATTTCATTATTGTGGCTCGGATTTCCAGCTTGCTGCGATGCTACTAGCAGACGTAATCGGTCAACTAGTTCATTGGGATCATCCCAATAAATGTAGTCTGGGTTAAATTGTTTCTTTGTAATCATAAATTGAGGTAATTTATTTCCAAGCTTCTTCTTCTTCCTCTTTATAACACCACTACCCTTTTTTGGTGTACTTTTAAAAAGTTTTGCAATGATATCAATGCATTTAGAACTCCTGTTTATGTTGACAGGTTCACTGGAACTATAATTTTTTCGGTGTGCATTTGTAGTTACAAGAATTTCTTTATAATTTTCCAAATCATCTGAACGTATTAACGCATGATTAGGTTCTTGTCTAAATAAAAGTTCAAGCAACCCAGCAGATTTTAAATATTTTTTCTTTCCAACAAGTTGAATATTGGAACCTTCTAAATCAACTGGTGTATCACCAATTATAAAAGAACCATTAGGAAGCTTACATACTCCATAAACCATGTCTAAATATTTTTTCTGTTTTTATTCAATAATTGAATAAATTTATTTGTCAAAGAACGATGATGAAAAATGGTCAAAATTTGCCCCCGAAGGGGATTGTAAAAGAAGTAAATGTTTTTATAGGTTTTGACCTGCTGAATCCGAAAATCACCCTTAGAAAGTTCTAAACCTTGGGGAAAGGGTTGAAAAACCACCCTTAACTCAGAGACAACGTTTTCAATAAACAACAGTAAAATATGATAAAATTATGTAAATAAGAAACGTTTACACTATAATTTAATAAATTAAGGTAAAACAACCGCATAATTTAAATCACGATTACGACCCTTGCAGTTTAAAAACTACCCCCTCATACATCAACACTTATGCCAAAACCCTAAAAAGTTATAAAACGTCAATATATTGATACATAACAAAGCAATAATTAATCCTACCAAAAAAAGCATGAAGGCATGGGCAAGATCGAATATCGAAAATATCGAAGAGAACTCGCAGCGCGATTAGGAAAAAAGCATTGGAGAAAGGCATACTCATAAGCAAAGTGCATGTTGCAGATGGAGCTGCGGTTGTGCAATTGTGGGCGCTAACTTTTAAAATGTTGATAGCCTTTTTTGAAATTGATAAAAAATAAATATTTATTTTTATTCATTTTTTAATTAAAAGTAATTAAGAAAATTAAATAAACAAAAAACTTTTTTTAATATTAATAACAATGAACATACATTCTAATTCAGCATCAGATAATTAAAACTAGACAAATGGTATATATTTATCAATTTATGTTTATTAAAAAAGAAATTAGAATAAATAAATTGAAATCAATATTATTGAAAATAATAAATAATTATTAATAATAGTAACAAAGAATATAATTATAATAGGGCAGGAGTTTAAATCTTATATTTAAATGTAATGAAATTAAAGTTATTAGAATTAATTCAAAATTAGGTAGCAAACTAAATTTAGAAATGGCGTAGAACAGTTAAAGATAATTCCCTATTTAATGCTTAGCGTTCGCCAGTTTCATATGCCTTACGCTTATATGTTTGTGTAAGTTTAATTGTATATCAAATTCACAAAGAAAAAAGAAAAATTGTAATTAATTAAAAATTAGGCAGGGAACTGAATTGAGAAATGGCAGAGAACGGCAAAGGAGACGGCCGCTCGCGGCCGTCGACTGCGCTAGTCCTTTAAAAATAAACAACGTTTACCACTACTGTAGAAATATCGGCCACCCCTAAATATGTTAAAAAACCACTCCTAAACAACCAAAACCAAAAAAAAACTTTAAATGTCATGGACTAAGATTCTAATGTTTTTGTTAAAGAGTTATCCCTACCAATAACAAATAAGCAACTATTGTTACATCTACCATTAACTCAACAACCCTTAATCATGGTCAGAAACTACCCCTATATCATCCTTAAAAAATTACCTCCGAAGTTACAAATTAAAAACCAAATTATTTTTCTATTTATGACACTTTAAATAAATGTTTGATATTGTGATATTCAATTTATTGCAATCAATAAGGAAAACACATAAAATATTCAAACCTTGAAGGTACAGTCTTAGGTGGTCCAATTAATAAAGATCAGAGTTTATCAGATAAAACTACTGAAGGTAAGAAACATTGTTGTCCAATCAATAAATATAAGGGTTATCAGGTCCAACCACTGAAGGTAAGATACATTGTTGTCCAATAAATGAAGATCAGGGTTATGGGATCCAACAACTAAAGGTAAGAAACATTGTTGACTAATTAAAGAAGATCAGGGTTATCAGGTCCAACCACTGATTGATTGGACAACAATGTTTCTTACCTTCAGTGGTTGGACCTGATAAACCTTATCTTCATTGATTGGTCAACAATGTTTCTTACCTTCAGTGGTTTAACCTAATAAACCTGATCTGCATTGATTAGACAACAATGTTTCTTACCTTCAGTGGTTGGACCTGATAACCCTGATCTTCATTGATTGGACAACAATGTTTCTCACTTTCAGTGGTTGGACCTGATAACCCTGATCTTCATTGATTGGTCAACAATGTTTCTTACTTTCAGTGGTTGGATCCCATAACCCTGATCTTCATTGATTGGACAACAATGTATCTTACCTTTAGTGGTTTGATCTGATAACCCTGATCTTCATTGATTGAACAATGTTTCTTATCTCCAGTGGTTGGACCTGATAACATTGACCTTCATTGAGTGGTCCACAATGTTTCTTACCTTCAGTGGTTGGACCTGAAAACACTGATCTTCATTGAGTGGTCAACAATGTTTCTTACCTTCAGTGGTTGGACCTGATAACTCTAATCTTCATTGATTGGTCAACAATGTTTCTTACCTTCAGTGGTTGGATCCCATAACCCTGATCTTCATTGATTGGACAACAATGTATCTTACCTTTAGTGGTTTGATCTGATAACCCTGATCTTCATTGATTGAACAATGTTTCTAATCTCCAGTGGTTGGACCTGATAACATTGATCTTCATTGAGTGGTCCACAATGTTTCTTACCTTCAGTGGTTGGACCTGAAAACACTGATCTTCATTGAGTGGTCAACAATGTTTCTTACCTTCAGTGGTTGGACCTGATAACTCTGATCTTCATTGATTGGACAACAATGTATCTTACCTGCAGTGGTTGGACATGATAACTCTTATAATAATTGATTTGATTGTTTAAAGTGTCATAAATAGTAAAATAATTCGGTTTTTAATTTGTAACTTCGGAGGTAATTTTTTAAGTATCATATAGGGGTAGTTTCTGATCATGATTAAGGGTTGTTGAGTTAATGGTAGATGTAACAATAGTTGCTTATTTGTTATTGGTAGGGATAACTCTTTAACAAAAACATTAGAATCTTAGTCCATGACATTTAAAGTTTTTTTTTGGTTTTGGTTGTTTAGGAGTGGTTTTTTAACATATTTAGGGGTGGCCGATATTTCTACAGTAGTGGTAAACGTTGTTTATTTTTAAAGGATTAAT